CTTCCTTTGTAAACTGTAGTAAATTTTGTCTATTTTTATAAATAGTTTCTAGTCAAGAATTTGGTTTCCTGCATATTATATACAATATAATGTATAATGTAAATAAATTAAGTGATATTTTCTATGGTATTTACTTGTGTATATTTCAAAACCATCTAACTTTTGGTTACTTTCCTATTTATTTGAATATTCATAATGAATAATTGCAAATAAATACTTGTTTCATACCGTCGGTGAAGAAACAATACCGCCTAGGCCTATCTGACATTTTTTTCGAAATCAAGGTTTTGGTATCGTAGCAACCGCTGCATCATTGTCCAACGAATGGTGGACGTAGTTCGCCAAAAATCCAACAGATGGTGTTGTTATAGCGTTTGTTCTGATGCCGCCCAACTGATTCCAGTTAAAAATACCGCCTAACTGCTTTAGTAGCCTATACAACTGCATGGGAATTTGTCACGCCGAGGTAAGCACTAGTATTATACTTCACTTAATTCCTTTTACATTTTATTGATCATAATGGGTTTATTAGAATATTATTAAATACATTAATTAGAATCACATTTTCAATAAGTTAAACAGTATTCAATTATAAAACATATTAATAGCAGCTGTTTGAAATAATGCTGCAGATAGGCGGTATTAGCTCTGAAAATATCAGTCAAATAAATGGTAGATAAGCGGTATTACAATTAACTAAAATACATTCACATTGATTTCATATTCGTTTTATTCGTCTTTTTTTACAATAATAGTAATAGAAATGGACTAATAAGTCCATATATTATTTTGTGGAAACGTAATATTTATGAATGTTTTTATTTACTTTTAATATAACAATTTCTTTCCAGGCACAATGGATTCTGAAATTGACGAAGACCTTGAATTCAGCCAAACAATCTCTGAAGAGGGAAATGGACTTTTATTTACAGAGGATGAAATTTTTAAGGAACTAGAGAAATCTAGAATAGACTTAGAGATAGGAGTCTCAGCCAAACGTAGTTCAAAAATTCCAAATGTCTCTACTTTTACTGATGGTAATTTGAATGAATTTTTACATCACTAAAATAGCTAAAATGATAGCAATACTTAGTAGTAACAAAAAGTTATGAATAAATAATTTATCAAATTAATTCATTGAAAATACTTAGCGATGTTTTTATAATTTTAATTTGTAACTTTTAAATTTCAGGTAGTGTTAAGTCTACAAAAAACAACGAGCTAATCCAAGAAATGAATGTAGAAATACCAGATCAAATAGATCACAGCTCTGTTCCAATTACAGTTCAAACCCATTTAAGCAATATAAACGAATCACATGAAGTACAAGAGGACAACAATATTATGTTTCCTGTAATACCAATAGACAATGATGCCAACATTCAGATTCCTGTATCAGGTAAATATTATTTTCACTTTACTTACGATTCACGAAATAGCCGGTAAATACTCATAATATCCTCATTATTAAATTTTGCGCAATTTTAACTACAGTATACGGGTTCTTGTTTCGTTTACCAGTTATGAAAGTTTAGCTATTGAAGGCTTTAATTGAGGAAATTAATATTGTCACCAGCATACAATTCCACTTTCAGGCAGATTTTATCTTCATCACACTGTGGTCGGTGGTTAACTTTTTTGTTGGAAATAGGCTTATGGGATCTTAATAGTTTTTATTTATTTTAGGTGAACCACTCATTGAAGAGGCTGCTGTTGATGAAATCGATATTATGAACCTCCCTTTTGATATCATTGAAAACGAAAGTAATACTGTGACAACAATTGAATACATATTTGAAGGCACAAATCTAACCGAGGAAAGAATGGATGATCCGGATTTCATGATTGAAATGGTGTCTAATGAGACATCTAACACTCAAGAACAGATAAATTCCGATTCAGAAGAAAACATAGTGTTGCCTGAAAAGAAAAGGAAGAAGAATAACTCATGTTCCTGGCAGAAAAACGTCAGTAAAAAAAATGAGAATGGAGGGTAAGAAGTATTTAGGTTATAGGAGAGATAAAAATGGAAGAGTGTTCCATGATACCCCTAAAGAAGGAAGGACGATGGGAGTCACTTGTTCATCTAATTTATGCAAAAAATCAAAAGTTAGATTCTGCCAGAGCATTGACAAAGAGCAAAGACTCAAGATATTTGATAATTTTTGAATCAGCATGAACTGGGACCAGAGAAAGGTGTATCTATCAAATATGGTAGAAAAATCTACTGTAAAAAGGAGAACTAAAGTAAATAAAGAAGAAGAAGAACACACAAATGAAGACGAAGAAAATGAGAATGATGGTCGTTCTATGGTCGGATGGTTGCGGCTATCAAAATAGAAATGCTATCTATTCTAACGCGCTTCTTCATTTAGCCAGTGAAATGAATGTGGAAATTGAGCAAAAGTTTCTCATCAAAGGACATACTCAAATGGAGTGTGACTTCGTGCATAGCAATATTGAATACTGTCTCAAAAATAAGGAAATACATCTACCAAGTCAGTATCATGCAGCAACGAAAGAAGCGCGATTGAAGCCAACTCCATATGAATCACATTACCTGAACTACTCTTTTTTTCAAAAACTTTTCAGTAAAAAGTTCAATGGCATATGAATCGATTCGACCAGGGAATAAGGTGGGAGAACCAACAGTTCATGATATCCGAGCAATACTGTACAAACCGAACGGGAAAATTGGAGTAAAGCTCGACTTTAATCAAGCATACGAAGATCTACCAAGACGACCAAAGAAGATTGATTCTGGAAGAGAGTTCCAGCGTTTGTACCAACCTACCTATTTCCCTATATACCTATTTCAAAACGGAAATGGAAAGATCTGCAAGACCTTAAACACGTGTTACCTCAAGATTGCCATCCCTTTTATGACAATATTTCTTTTAAGAATGATTAATTCCATCATTACTATTACTCTGTCGCTAGTTGTCGACTTTTATTAATTAGGAAACTACTAATTTCTCCTAAAAGAGGGAAGTGTGTAGAAAACTGACTACATGGACACAGAAGTAACTTAATTGGATTTTAAACCCTCAGATGTATAGGGACATTTATTTTAGACTGAGGTCATGAAAGACTTAGACACGTTAAAGACTGGCATTGAAGACTGAAAAAGAACATTCTTGTTACTATTATTCTAATTGAACTTTTAAATTATTTTATACTTTTTATTGTGTAGAACTGCCGTATTCTAAGACATTTTTCATTATAACATTTTTGTAAATATGTGTTGTTTTACTCACCACTACTATCACTTAAATATTAAAAGAAAATTAATTTACTATTAAGTTTCTCTTAAAATGCATTGGTCACTTTACCGCCCAACAGACCATTTAAACAAAATACATGAATGCAATACCGCCTAACTGAAAATAGGAATACAGCCTATCTACAAAACCGAAATCTCAACCCATTAATACCGCCTAAGTACTACAGTAAATATAAATAGTTAAAGTAATTTAGTATTTAGACGAAGTTTGATCTAGACATTAGTTTTGAAACATTAATATGTAGTTTTGTATATTATATTCTATGGATATTTTTCAAAACAGTTTTTCTCCTGTTCTGTAAAGTTGAGGATTTGTCATCTGTAAGGCGGTATTGTTTCTTCACACTTAATATTGGTTTTTATTTTGCAAACCTACTTTTAGTTAGTAATTTTTCATGTAGACCCAATATTTTTAATTTTTTTTACTGAATCTAAAGTGTTAATAAATTCTGTGTAAAGCTATGTTTCTTTAGCAATCAGAAGGTTGATCCTGAAAAAAATCAGTAGCCTTTTTTTATGGTCCATAACTGGACTCAGGATGTTCTTGACCATTGGGGTTTTAGATAAAGAATCCTGGTTTTAGAAACAGCTGATCTGAGTTAGTAACAAAGCTTGACAAGTCATCTTGCCCCATTCCACACTCACCCTTTATTCTTGTTTTTTTCTTCTTTTCTAGTTTGTTAAAAAAAAACTGGCTTGGTTGAATTACCATGTAGCCACACTATTACACCTTAACATGAATGTTCTATCCCTTCATTCTTATTTGGGTTAAAATATGCCTTTTATTGCTTAGTGCTTCCCCATCATAAGCCATTGTCACAGGCATTTTTTAATGGTTTTTATGTAATTTTAAGTGTTATTCCGTTTAGCCTCTATGGCATATGCATTTTAATACAATACCGGCAACCGGTATGTCAATATTTAACCAAAAAAAGGCAAACAAGAAATTCTATGTGCTTCTTCTCTTTATTAGTAGAACAAAAAGAAGCAAAACGGGTGTTTTGTGCAATCACTACGATCACTACTGACATGCTGGTAACCTCCAACCGGGTGAACTGTTTGACTACATTGCCGTAAAATGTTATAAGAAAGCTACACTCAAAACTTGCAGTCAATGAGTTTATAAAATGATTATCATTTAAACAAGTCCTCACCCTTGTAACAGTACAAATCTTTCTATTGCAACCCTGTTGACATATTAAGGGAAATTTACATAGGATACATAAGGTTCTAATGGATAAAATCCCGTTTCAAATGTATGTTATTCATCATTTCATAAAAAATGTAAAACTAAGGTGTATCATGTTTATTTTAAACAAAATATTTATACTTGTATGACAAGAGTTCTATAACAAAAATTAGGTAATTCTTTTATTAATTTCTCGATAAAAAGATTTACTGCATAACATGAATTGCTAATGTTATGGAGTATCGGAGGTTATTTTGTTATTAATATTTTCAGGTAGGTAGGCCTACAGTAAGTACTGAATAGGTACGATGCCATAGCTGCTAGTACATTAGTCTGCTTCTGCCAAGAGTGCAGATAGTTTGTATTGTTGCTACTAGATGCCAGGAGCTGCCTATCAATAGCAGTCTACCATCAGTGTGGCCAACACAAAAACGTTTCTAGCACGTCAGATGATACGAGGCGCGGCAGCTGGATTCTCGTTTTGTAGTTGTGGTATTAGTGCCAGTGTTCAGCAACAGGTAGTGGGTGATGGTTGTAGTGTTGTTTGAAACTTTGTGGTGAACTTAAAACTTGTCGGGTACGCAGTAGTATTTATCGGTGTTATGTATTTTGTGCTATTTGAAGAAAATAGGTGCCGTTAACTGTGAGTCAAAATAGTCCATTCTAATTTATTTGAAGTCATCGGGATTCAATTTTAACCTCTCCACCACAGGTCGGAGTTTTAGTTCTGTCGCTGGTGACTTGGAAGTTAGTATAAAGTTGTTTAGATCACATATTTGTACTCTGAAGGTACACAATTATTATGTTTACTATATGTTTTGCTCTCGACGACGAATTGTTTCACTGGAGATTGTTTGGTTCAGTCCGAGTTTGTTATCTTATTTACCAAAGTCTAACGTTCGGGAATCAAAACAACTTAAACTTAAGTTAAACTTGATGCTTTCCTAGATAATTTCACTGAGTAAATTATTTATTCAACTAATTATTTCGCGTTACTATACTGACAGGCGTATTTGCTCTTTGTAAGTTAATAATTTACAGGCCTTACCCAAGTCAAGTGTAATTAAGTTGGCTCGGTTTCTTTTTTTAGCCGTAGTCCTTTGTTGATCTTTTTTCGTCCTCACTTTCCTTGTAACTGGACAAAACTGTGTTCCAACAAAACTTACAGCTTGCTTTTGAAATTTCAGCAGCCTTGAATAAATTTCCACAACAACATGAGCTATACAGACGACGAGACAAGTCAGTGTTTGTGACGTAACAAAATCTAAAAATAACTCACAGCATTTGACCTCAGCGGTTTGACTCTTTACACATTAGTGTCATAGTGGCCCATCTGTGGTTTTAAAAGTTTAGACCTGTCAATATTTTGTTATTTCATTATTTTACAAAGTGTGATGCGGAGCAACTTTAACGGATAAGTCCAAGTGCGGGGTTTGTTTGGCGATAATCCTGGATTTCTGTGTAAATTGATAAAGAAAAAATAAATTTACAATCTTCTCAAGGTCTGATTGGAGTCTTCAAACATCTAATGGTGAGTAAACTTGCAAAGTCTCAAACTTATCAAACTAACATTTGTGTTTAATAGGCCTAGATTATTATTTGCGCATACATCTTTTTAAGCCCAGCGATGCTGTACTGTATTTTTGTTTAACTTAATCGTAGGTTAGTTAATGAGAGGTGACTATAGTAACTTACTATAGAGTGCTCGAGATGAGATCATCTGCAACTTTCTTTATTCCTGGCTAAGATAGTATGTTGACTCTTAAACTATGGCCATTTTATTTAGGTAGACCTACTTTTAAATCACAAGAACATATTGCACTCTTGAATTTGTCTAAAGGAAAATCGGGCCGATACTCAATAGGCCTAACTTTGCTCGAATCTGGCCGAACGCTAACTTAAGTTTAGTTTATACTAACTTAGGCGTACAGTTATAGACCTGCAGACTTAAAACAACCACCGGTATTAATTTTTTTTTATTTAGGTAACTTACTGTACGGTATTTAGTAGGCCTATAGTTTCATCAAAACTATCAAGAAATAAAGTTAATGCTTGACGATTTCACAGGTTTCTGCTACAAATACAGCACTTGTTTGTTTGGAAAACGTACATACATAAGGATCGATTTGAAGGATTTAACTTGATTGGGGTTTAAAATGGCAAATATCTACCCTATGTAAAGGCTTGTGTAACTTAGTCTTTCATTATAGTATTTGATAATACAACGTATTGATTGTTAATATTTTTTACTAAATATTGCATTGACTTTTTTGCTTCTTTTAATAATGTACCGGCAGTCATGATAATTTCGTTTTACAACTAAGCTGCGTTCATACCGGAACTAAATAATTCAATTTTTTATTTTTAAAAAACTTTTGCTGAATAGTAACGGTAAACTTAATTAAATCTTTGCCAACAAACCTGTAGAACAGTTTGTTGCTAACTCCATTGTATTGGTTTTGACGTGGGAAGAAATTTGGTTGCTAAACTCTGATTTGGTATTCTTTTTATTCTCTAGTCAACTTTGATTTTAAATCATTACAAGCAAACCACACAATTACCCAAACTTTAAGCGGGGAAACAATTGCAACTCATGCCTTGACTGATACAATAGTCAATGCTGATACATTCAGTTGGTAGCTAGACTATGTTTAAGTTAATTAGGTAAAATTACTCCATAAAATGTCCTTAGGAATGGTGAAGAAATCATCGGTTGTCAGTTTAGAAGAGTGGATTTCACAATAAAAGATTACTTTTTTATTTCGAGATTGTTTTTAATTTCGTACAACACAAGAATGGGGGGCTGAACAAACAGTGTGATATAGGCTATAAATATTTAACACATTTGGTCTGAGTGACATTGTGCCTTCTCTAACCTCAAAAACTTGATACTATCGACATTGTCTCTGTACTTGTACCTTGTGTTGAGAAAAAGATTACTGTACCTACGTCTTTGTAAGGGTTCCAGATCTTTTTTTAGATTTAAGACAGAAACGAAAACAATTTTAAACTATTTAGTGATGGCATAATACTTTTCACTCGGTTTTAAATTTTGACATGAGAGAGCCTTGATTTCTTATTCTAAAACTTTTGTGGGTTTTGTTGATGTGCAGCTTTTGGCATAGTAATGTTCCACCTTCCAGTCTCTTATAATCTAAAATATACACGAGGCAAGCCGTCGCCGTCTCTTAAATAACTTGAGGATTTTAGACTTTCTATTATAAAAACATGGACATGGTTTTTAAGTTAAATAAATAACATATATGCTTTAAACTGCTAAAATGTTTCTTTGACGTTTTATAACAAGTTATCTTGGCTACTAATTCAGACAAATACAGAATTCAAGTTGCTGATAACTTAGGCTATGTTTGGCTGTGATTAAAATTTAATGTGTACCTATAAAATAAATACAATTAACTGGTTAAAATTACTTACATCCCAGAAACAAATGTTTTTATTTAAAGGACGTTGAAACCTTGACCACAATAAAACTCCCCCTGCTCAACAAAAGAATTCTCAAGGGATATTTAACTTAATCTTCTCTTTTCTCTTCAAATTTGTCATGCATCGAGTGAAAGCATTCATAAAATGTTCAGGGACTCCAGATTTTCTTGGAGACATTATTTAGGCATACCTTAAAAGTTTGTTTTATTTGACGACCTTTTACATTCAACCGGTTGGTTGTCGCCATACAGGATTCGAATTGGATTAGTGGACTGTACTAAACGGAAGGACGGGGAGCTAAAAATATCCTCTGTGCCACGCCTGCGACCTCCACCTCTGTGCTAGGTGTCCTGGACCTGGCTATCCTGGTCATAAAGATATCCTGGACTGGCAGTGCAGTACATGTGTTTTGATCAGGGGGTGTGTGCACTCCACTTGATTGTCGATCAGACCGACTGTTCTGATCAAGTGGAGTTCGAGGAAATAAAGTTGTAGGTATTGTAGATGGGTGTCTAGGTGTATTGCAGCAATAACCTTTTGACCAATGGTAAAAGACCTCACAAAAGTATTATTACCGGTTGCACCAAGCTACAAGGCGTACAAAATTAATATTTAAAGTTCACCCACAGTTGTTACGATAATCGACAAATACTTAATCTCTCCTGCTTTACAAACTTTTGCGATATTGGCACTTTTTAGCTGGTTACCATTATCCTTTCTCGCGAGTTTCCATTTAAAGCATTCTACAGTAGAACCTTGATAAGAAGACACTAAAAAACAAGTGGCCCTTGATAGCAAGTGTCATTTTCAAATATCCTTGATTTTATATTGCCCTAAAATGCATGTAACTGCAAACCTCCATAAGGAGTCAACCTTGATAACAAGTCATATTTGATCATCTCCATAAAAGTCTTCCTATCAAGGTTCTACTGTATATGGTTTGACTTATTTTGATCGGTAATGTGGAAAACAGAGACACGGACAAGTTGATTTATTTATCAAACCACTTGTAGCGGGGTGTATAAGTTAAGGGCGAGGGGCGGGGTCAATTGAAATTTGATTACCCTCTGCCGCGCGCCACTCTGACCCGATCAATTAATTGTTGACAATCAGCTGTTTGTTGGTGTCAAAGACCACCGAATGGTGGCTACCTTGTTACGGACTTGCACGCAGATTGTGACTATCGTCTGCTATGGCAGACTCGGTAAACGTTCCGGACTTTAAAAAAATTAAATTAAAACGATAAAAAATTATTTTTACAAATGAATTTTGTCACTACGTGAATATAAAATACAAAAAGAAGGAACACTACTTAGAAATCAAACACAGTTTCATAAATTTTTGCGAAATTTACCCAGATGTTATTTGTCATTGGGCTATGAATTAATGATGCTATCTAACAAAAAAGTCGTCGTTGGTTTGGACCGTCCCCTTAAAAAAAATTAATAAATGTCACTGGTGAAGTAACAATGCAAAATGCCCATCATGGTTCTTTTAACTCTCATAAATAATATTACTTGATAAGGAATTTCGGGATTTAGCTTAAAACGAGTCCATAAAGAATATAATATCTGTGAACACATTTTGGAAGGCAGCTAATTTGTGTTTAATGTTTTGGAATACTTGATTTGTAATTCGGAGTCATTAAACAATTAATAATAGTGTTTAATTGTTCAATTATGTTGGGCCTGAATAGTTAAAAAAATAACATACAGTTAATGGGTTTTCTCTAAAAATATTTAGGTAATCAAACAACTTATCCAGATTAGAGCCTTTGAGAGCAGATAGTGGGTTTTAACTAGTGATGTGGGTAAATACCCAGTGGGTGGGGTATTTAAATAAACTGGGGAGAATCCAAAGCCAAAAGTCTGGATATTTATAAAAAGTATAAACAGTTGCAATGTTTTGCATAGTTATTAAATTTGTCATGGCATACGAGTGGAAAATTGTAGTAATTTGTTTGATAGAGAGAATAGTTTATGATATATTTTATTATTAATTAAAAATTCTAGAAACTCGTGAAAATACCTACGTGTTGTAAAAGTTGGTACCTCTATTTGGGCACGTTTATTTTTACAGTTTTTCTTGAACACCATAATAAAAAAATATGATGCAGGCTACTCTTATAGTTTTAACGATATATTATAGGTCCACTTGTTCCGATTTTTGTCATAATTTAGGGATCGCTTATAAAAAATGTATATGCTACGCTAGCTTTTCTTTGGGCCGTCAATGGCTCAAATATCGTTTTGGACTTCGTCTTCGTTGTGAGAGTGATACCTGCCTCGATTCCCGGCACACCCAAGTAAATATAAGGATTTAGACCGTTCCCAAGACATTCAGAGTTCACTAAAACAAAATAAATGCCATACAAACTAGGTTACAAAACAACGATACATACAAGCAGGCCTGACGCCGCGTCTTTGATGGGCGTGGTACTTTCACCTTTATGACAAGTTGCACATTCTAATTTGGCCGATGGCTTGAAACAATGTGAGAAATTTAGGTTACACACTCCACGCAACTCGGCAATGCAACGTGTGCAAAGATAACCATTACCGCCGTCGTATCCGTTAGTATAGGCTACCAAGTTACCAAGTCCACAATTGATGAGATTTTAAAATAAATACTTATAGTATATTTCCTCCCTAGGGCGTAAAGGGACTCTTTTCGACCAGAGCTTCAAGCTTACGATAAAGGTGAATTTGGCAAAATGAGTGAGGGTTGAAAAGACACCTTTTTTCTCTTGTGGTAAACAATACATTTTTAGTTAGAAAACGAAAATACGTTTCGTCTAGATAGCCTACCCTCTCAAAACGACTTTGTTTTCAATTTTGCTTGATTCAATCCAATCATATCGTCTATTACGATTGTGTTTTAGTGTACCTACATTATAATATCGATATGTCTAACTATTGACAGTAATGCAAGAATAAGCTACAACCGATATAATCAATCGATACCTAATTTCGATGCGATTGCTTACTATCGAAGTTTACAACAGCTGATTTTTACTCCCTCCCAGGGAGTGAAAGAGCTACTTTATACCGGCAACGCATGCATTAAAACAGCTGTTTTTACCATGAC